TTAAAATAATTTTATTATTTTAACTAACTTACCTTACTTTTTAAAAGTTAGTTTTGAATGACTTATAAAAGTACTGGGGAATATATATATCTCATTGATAATTGTGTTAGCTACTTTTTTATTTTTAAATATAAGAGATATTACCTTATGTTTTACTCTCTCCATTCATTAATGTAAGGTATTTTTTAAGAAATTAGATATTAAATAATATAAGATATTTTTAGTCTTTTGAGATATAATCATTGTCTTTTTTAAAAAAGTGCCCATATTGATGAATGGCTTTATATTTATTGTAGAGTGTTTAATAAGGATAAATATAAAAAGATAGTATTAGTTTGAAAATAGGTAACTACTTTATTGGGGATAAAATTTAGTTAAAAATACCTTACATTTTTTTTACAGATGGAGTATTGTTTTTCTACTATTATAAGCAAAATTTACAAATTTCAAGGTGCATTAATTTCATGTTCTCAATTTCTCCCTTAGAAATTCATAATCTCATTAACATCAGAGTAAAAAAAAAAAAAAGTAAACATTCATTACAAGGATATTTCACTCTAAGCATTTTAATTTTATAACATATATTAAAAGGATTAACTAATTTTCATAAAATGTGTGAGCTGGTTGAAGTTCTCTTACATTTTTCCCGTCTCCATTTATAAGGAATTTTTATAAAAAATCACACATATTAATAAAATTCAATAAATATATTTTAAAACTTTACTTTTTCAAATTAAAAAGATAAATTTTAAAAATTTTCCTAATTTAATATTCTATTTGTAAAATAATATACTTCCAAAAATATTATTAAAGAGAGAAAAATATGGAAGGAATGTTGAAAAAGCATCATTAATAAAAAATTTATTTTTATTAAAATATTTTATATTTTGAGATGTAAAATATCTTTTAAAAATATTTTATAAATTGAGACAGACAAAGTATTTGAATAGGGAGGGAATATCTCTTATGAATTTGAGTTTGAGTTTGTAATCTTGTTTTCGACAGGCTGTATATGAAACGCACTCATTATTATTTCAATGATTTTTTGAGCTTGCAAAAGTTTGAAGCGCATTTTAATAAAAAGGCCACTGGCTCTTATGGTCTTCTTGTTTGATGGACACTTTATCCTAAACAGGGGATAACCCTTTTATGGCGCTGTTTGTTTCGCGTTTCCATTAGAAGTAGAAAGGCTTTTCACAAGTTTTTCTTTTTTTTTTAATGTTTTTATTTGAATAGAATTCTTATTTGAAAATATTGTTTTATTGGATTCCATTGATTACGTTAAAGAAATGGATGGCAAAAGATAGACAAAACAGCTTGGATTATCTATTTATCTAAGATTATCTATTTATCTAAAGAGTAAAGCAGAATGAATCATGCATTAGTTGTTGTAATTTGGTTTTCAATTGAAGCCTATAGCTAATTGATTTCCCTGAGCTAGTAGACAGCGTCTATGAATTTGACTTTGACTTCCCAACGTTGTTTGGGACATGCACTGTTTTTGACAGGCATCGTTTCTCCTTGTTCGTGATTATTCAAGAAGTGCTTGAGGCACGATGCCTGTCAAAGACAATGCATGTCCAGAATAAGAACTGAAGCTGAAAACTCTATTTAAATAAAAGTTTGAATTTTAAAATTTAAATTTTTTTAAAATAATTAAGTTTAAAGGTTTAGTTTTAATAAGTCCTGTAAAAAAAAAGCTTAGGTTCAGGTAGTCTTTCAAGCTTTATTATATTATTATTAATTTTTTTTCTTGATAAAACATGCGTTTGAAGTCAAGAAAAACCTACTCACCTGAAACCTTGATTCTATACATGTTATATTATTATTAATTTTAATTTATTTTAAAATTTATTTAATATAATTTAATAAATATCAGTGTACAATATAAAATTTCTAATATTTTTTATTTTTTTTATAATTATTATGTTTGTGTATTTATTAAAAATGAACTGTTTTTTAACTAAGATATAAATTTTATTACTAGACTTCTAAATGTGTATTGTTTAATTTCTAAAAATTATGAGAATTTTCATTTTTTTTAAAATTTTAGAATATTTTAATTAATTTATAGTGCTTAATTTTATTTTTTTTAAAATTTTTTTAGAATAGGGCTTGCAAGCCAGCCCTGAGCCATTCAAATAAAGGCCGAGCCTTAGAAAAGTGATGAAAAATAAAAAATCAAGCTTAAGAGCTCAAGTCCTTATGGGCCGGGCTCATAAAGGTTGAGCCCACCTGTTTTCCAGCTCTAATTTCACTATAGGACTATTATAGAATTCATTCTAAAAAGGTTAAGAAGATTATAAGAAGATTACAATATATAATACTCGCTCCTCTATCTCAAATTATAAAATATTTTAAAACAAAATCATATATACTAATAAAATTCATTAAATAAATAAATACACTTTATAACTTTACTTTTTTAAGATAAAAATATAAATGTTCCCCATTCATTTAATACTTTATTTGTAGAAAAATATTAAAAAGAGAGAATAGATGAGAAGTGTAATATTGAAAAACATAATTAATGAAACTTTATTTTTGTTGAAGTATTTTATATTTTGAAACTCCAAATCTCCTTTAAAAGTGTCTTATAATTTGGAACGAAGATAGTACTTCCTCTATACCACAATATAGGGTAACTTTTAGAACCCTTGTTTGGTCCAAAATATAGGATAATCAATAAATTTTAAAAATATTTTTAAATATATTCCTACTTCATTTATTACTCTTTTTGAAAGATGATATATTGAAAATTCAATTGTTATTATCAAGGCACTTATATAGTATATTTATTGATGGTACAATTAAAAAGATGTAAATTTAAAAAAAAATTAAGGTTTTAACAACTTTTTCAAGAATCATAAATTAATAATCAATTCTCTATATTATAGTTTAAAAAGAGTACTATGCATCGTATATTATTTAATCAAAAGTAATGGTGCATGTCCATCGATAAGAGTATATTTTATAGTTAAATAGGTAAAAATTTTGGTTTATAATATGTCAATATTGTATACTTGTTTAATAAAATTTTTATATATATTTTTATCTATACTTAGGAATTTTTATACAAAATTTACTCAAATCCTTCCTTTTTAATATATTTTACAGGAAAAATTGTAAAGGAGAGAAAAGAAGGAAAGCAAAAAAATCATAAAAGGAAAAAGAAAGGGAGAATTATATTAAGGATCTGGGAAGACAATTTGCAAATAAGAATTAATATAAAATAAAATATTGTTAAAATAAAAATATGATTTTTTTTTATATACTTGTTATTGATCTTGTGAATAATTTTTTAAAGATCTTTGATAGTTCTCCAAAAAAAAAAACAAGGAGAAAAGACAAGGCGGAAGTTAAGAATGAAGAAAAGGTCAAAAATAAAAAAAACAAACAAACAAAGAAAGAAAGAAAGAACGAACATAGAAAAAGAAGAAGAGGAGGAATAGACGAGGTTTCAACTGAAAAAAGAACAAAGAATTAAATGAAAATAGATGAGGCTTAAGCTGCGTAAAAGGGGGGGGGAGTATATTTTGAAAAAAAAAGAAAAAATTAGCTTAATGACTTTAAAAAATATAATTCTCATAAATTATGGATGAAATTTTTAAATATTTTGAAATATGGCTCATTTATAAAATTAATTAAATATGTTTTATTTTTTTTTCTTCAGATTAAATTTATTAATTTAATAGAAAAGCTAAGCTTCTGGTATGGCCATCAAGACGCTATAGAATGAAAAAAAAAAAAAAAACTGATTAGAAAGCCAAGCACTTATAACACAGTATATATCTTGCGGATTCAATTAAAAAAATGAATTTGATAAGTTTTTCTATAATTAATAGCTTAACATAGAAGAAGAAGAAGTTCTATGAAGTAATAGAGGAGACATAGGAGAGAAATAAAAGAGGTTCACACAGCTTGAATAGAATGAAAGAGGGAGAGATCTTCAGAACAAACCTTTGGACGCAGAAGAAGTGGGTAGTGGCAATCTAATGGAAGATGCATGAAATGAACAAACAGGCTATGGAAGGTGTTGATATCTAAAACAAGCAGCTCAGAATGAAGAAGTGATTGAAGAAAGTACCAAATCTCGTACCATAGGGAATTAAAATTGGCGCATGCGGCTGCGATCAAAACAGGGAGGGATCTTCAATGATGATACCAAGTTTTTTTTTTGTTCTGGGGATGACGATGGAGGGGTCCGACAGGAGGAATTAAGTTAGAACATTTGATTTCGCCCTGTAGCCCGAAAGAGACCGAGGCAGAGAAGGCGAGGCCTAAAAACCGCACGAGAGAGACTGGGAAGCCCAATGCAAGCCCAGGAAGCTATCCCTATTCACTCCACAAGAATATGATTAAGAAGACTTCTTTAATTATCATAGGAAATCCAGATATTACAATATAAATTAACACGATTTATCATGCATTTGAATATACTCCCAAATAAACCATCTGCAAACATGAACAGTGCATATTCTACCATTTTTATATTATGTTTTTGTTTGATTGATATTGATGATTGATGAATATACTTAATTGAATCGGTAATGTAGTATATCTTATAAAGTGAATAAAAATAAAAAAGGAAAACAATTTTATAAATGTTATCAAATATATTTCTTGATTTGTTGAAAGAAATTATTAAATTTCACAATTATCAATCAAAATTATATATATTCAAATAAAACAACTATAGCTGTGTAATTATTTTGAGTTGAGATAATATGAACATAATAGGATCACAATAGTTCATGGGTTTATGAACATCATAGAATCTATAGAAGCAAACAAAATTGTTGCCTCAGACTAAAATGATCATATATAAAATTTCTAAAAATGATGAAAAAGAAGAGAAAGTTAGACCAGCTGGTATATAATTAGCTAAAATGAAAACAGTACTCAAGAGGATAATATGAGTTCAATTTATTCATATAATAATTATTTGAACATCTGTGTGTAGTTATTACAAACAGCAGCAATGCTAGACTGAAAATTATTCAAAGTAGTCTTAACAATTGGAAAAAGCTTGAAGCCTTGTACTTGATCTTGATCATGCCTCCTGGAACTTGACTTTGTAAGGAGCATCAGTGAGTGCCACGCGGTTGTTACCTTTCTCATCTACAAAAACTCCGACATTTTTGCACAGACGTCTGCAAGATTTGCACCCACTTGGACAATAAACAAGCTTATAATCTCCTCCATACTCTTCAATCTTCCATCCTGGTTCCCCCAGAATGCCACCAGTTGTCACGAACCAATGATTTGACGAAGCATCAAACCGATCAAGCTTCCACACTGTGGACTGAGGACACTTATTGTACCCAGAGAACTGAATGTTTAGATCACTATAGACAGGAATCACGCCCTTCTTGGGGTTCAAAGGTGTGAATGTGACTGGTAAGGCACGATATCTATCCCCCACCACCACATCAAGCGGGCAATATTTTCCGATGCCGGCGAGTGAGAAGCCGGCATCGCGACTCCAACATCGGCCATGAGGTGCACATTTGATAATGGGAGCAACAGGAAGAATGTAGTAATTGGAGCCAGCTCGGAGAACCTTGCCTGTTGTGTCAACCACTTGCCTTGGGGAAGCATCATCAGCTGCTACAAGCAGTGATTGAAGGCCCATGCTCAAGGCATAGAGCAGCACAAATAATGCGACAAGTGAAGTTTTCATTGTTCTCTTGCAAATTAAACCTTTGGGTTTATGATTTTGTGGAAGTGATGGAGATTAGAAGCGTGAATTTATAGTGCTTGTTCGGATCCAATCTGTGGATTCTTGGTGTAAGTTTCAATTAATGTCTCGGATAGACTGATTTACATACAAGGGGCATTTGATTAATATACAGATACATGGATATTAGAGTTCCAATATTCATAATTCTCTTGTAAAATTGTTCTCAAGACCGTAGTAGTACGGATCTTGCATGAATTTTCAACAACTGGCAATGTAGTCTCCTGTTTTGTTATTATTCATGAGTTCAGCTGTATTATAGAAGTCATTCTAATTAGGACAGTTATGAAGATTTTTTTTTTTAATTTGGCCAAAACTGTTATAATATTGGAATATATAATATAGCGTGGAAAATGTAGTAATTTATTTTTAGTGTCGTCATAGTTTGGAGGGAGTTTGTTTAATGAACATTTCAATAGGCTAGGCTAAATGTATGGTACTCTTCTTATTTGTCACCTAATCAGAGTAATGCTTCATATAATTAACGAAATAGCTTATAATTTATAGTATTTATTTGATGGTACTACATTTTTATTAACATTTGATGAATATTATTGTCTTTTTATTGAAGCTATAATTTGTGTTGAAATGTTCATTAAACTTACTCCTCCAAACTCTAACAATCAAAGAAAATATTAACTAATTATTATATTGCCCAGACTGCTAGATATATTTTAATCTTGACAAAATAAAAATTTTATAAAAATGAATTGTATAATCCAGATGGACACGTGAATAATCAAAAACCAGGTGGCTGCCTGTCGAAAACATATATTAGTGCCGTACAATACAGTGTCGGGAGAATTCATACACAAACCATACTACTTCAGGACTTTCGTAATTTTTATTTTTCTAATGCATATGGACTCAATAATTAATAATGGGACCCTAATATTTAATACATTTAAAAAATGCCCACTGAATGCGATTTAATCTACCGTAGACTGGGGGAATAAAAAAAAGTACAGAAGGATCCATAGATTAGAACCAAAGTAGTAACACTATAAATCTACGCTCTTGATCTCTATTATTAGCATCCATCACAAGTTCAAATACGAAAGCGTACAGAGAAATGAAAACCCTAATGTTAGCATTCGTGCTGCTCTATACATTGAGCATAAGCATTCAACCACTACTTGTAGCAGCTGATTCTTCACCTAAGGAAGTGGTTGACACATCCGGCAAGATTCTCCGAGCTGGAACCAATTACTACATCCTTCCTGCTGTTCCTATTACCAGATGCAGAGTACCCAATGGCCGGTGCCGGATTCAACAAGCCGGCTTCTCGATCGCCGGCATCGGCAAATATTGCCCACTTGATGTGGTGGTGGTAGAGAGATATCAAGCCCAGCCTGTCACGTTTACACCTATCAACCCTAAGAAGGGTGTGATTCGTATCTCTACTGATCTAAACATTCAGTTCTGTGGGTACAATAAGTGTCCTCAGTCCACAGTGTGGAAGCTTGACCGCTTTGATTATTCATCGAAGCAATGGTTTGTGACGACTGGTGGCATTGTGGGGAAGCCAGGATGGGAAACTATTAACAATTGGTTCAAGATCGAAGAGTGTAATGGAGATTATAAGCTTGTTTATTGCCCAAGTGTGTGCAAATCTTGCAAGCATTTGTGCAGAAACGTTGGAATGTTTGTGGATGAGAATGGTAACAGACGTGTGGCACTCACTGATGCTCCTTACAAAGTCAAGTTCCAGAAGGCTTGATCAAGTGCAAGCTTCAAGCTTCCTCTACGAATAAGTGTAGTATATATGAAGTAATACAGACATACTGTACTTACTAGTTACCACTACACAAATGTTCCAATAATCATGTGAATAAAACTATAATAATATTATCCTCGTGTTTTATTTCAAATTTGCCATGGTTTTTCTTTCCCTTTTTTTTTCATATTTACAGAATAGTTATGGTCGTGTTATTTAATTTTGTCTGACATAACAACTTTTCTTATACAGGAATGAAAGTGAGAGTTAATTTTTTGATAAACGGAACTTATAGTACCTATAGATATCATCTTATTGGAAGCAATTTTGTTTGAAACATTATCAACAGGTATTAAATATAAGTATCTCTCCCAACAAAAATTTAAATTTTGATTTGCTATATTATGAAAGACTAGCTCTTTTTACTAACCCCAACGCTTATTCATAAACTTTCAAATATACATATATATTATCATCATGTGTGTTCATTTGGACTTACAAATGGTTTTTCTTTTCTTTTTATAAATTACAGGAAGTTTATATCAACATTACTTTATTTATGTTATATATTAAAAATTGTAGACGTACATCTTAGTTTATTACATATTTAAGCTCTTAAATTTTTCACTTTTATGAATGCTTCTAATACTGATTCTACTAAGCCACGAAGAAGTGTGGTACCAAAAAAACCATTAAAAAAGTAGCAAATTGTTATTTTCCATGGATTGAGCTAGCACAGGAAAAGAAAGTTTTAATTTGATTTTTCATTTTTATAAAATAGCTTTTCATTCCTCTAATTCTAACATCTTTTGTTTCAAACAATTTTTTTTCCAATCATTGTTATTTTTAAAAAAAATTAAATTTAATATGTTAACATTTTAGAATATTTTGTTAATATTTAAAAATTTAATATAATTTTTTTATGAAAATAACAATATTAAGGTTAAAAAATTGAAAAAATACTTTATAAAATTGAAAAATTAAAATAAAATTATATATATAATTAATGAATTAAAAGCATATTTTAGATAAAGAAGACTCTGATCTCCATTTGATAGTTTGTTACATTATCTGTAAATAGTGTTGATTAATGCTTCGGTATGTCACACCGTTATCTCTAATCTCTTATTTTAATAATTCCTCCAGTATTGATAATTTCAAATGATTTACTCTTCTGTTCCTAGTTTTTCTTATTTTGTTTTGGCTTATAAAAAGAGTTGATTTTATCAATCATAAAAAGAAGTTCAGTACACATAATCGAACCCAACAAATACTTAAAAAATAAAAAAATATAATGTAACACACAACTTACCCGATTAAAAAAAAGGAAAAGAGAAGCAATAAACTAAGTCAATAACAAAAAACCAAAAACAGTAAAACAAGAAAATTCAACCAACAAAATTAACCAATGTCCTCTTATTCTGAGGAGAGCTAATATGAATAGATTCAGAACAACTACCAACCTACAAATCGGCAGCCAAAAACCCGAACAAAGAAAATATAGCAACTTCATTACTTTGGCAAGTCATCAAGGAAAACTTAACATCCTTGCATGATTCTTTGCCAGATAATTTATCCTGCACAATCTCAAAACAATGCCAATCATGATCAATACTTATCTGGTCCTATTTATAAATTATTCCTATTAAAAATATATTCTTTAATAATATATTTTCTCTTTTCAACATTCAATGAAAAATAAAAAAAGTAATTTGTAAGAAAAATTTAATGGTGTAATATGTAAATAGGATAAAAAAAAATTGTCTTTCTACCTATAAATAAAATCAAAGAAGTATATTATTAACATACATAATCATATTTGACCAAACCGTAGTGGTTAACTAATGTCTTGATTTTAAAGATTCTTATCAGTGATATGAAAAGAATTCTATTGACGTGGTGTTTAATATTTAAGAAGTTTAAAGCAGAATATTTTATTATGTTCACTCAACCAAAGGAAAGACCTGCAGTTATCCCTGTTGATTAAGACATTAATTAAGGGAAAGCCCAAAGCCCAATACAAATCTTATTCCCTTAAAATAGAAAGCCCAAATCAAGAGTGGAGACTGAGGGACCAATAAGGGTCACGGCTTCTCCTAACTTTTTAATTTTTTTTAGTAAAATGTAGGGATTATATATTTTTAACCTCCTACGTTAGCACATTATAAAAACATTGAGACACTAGATGAAATTTTTTTTCAATTCTATAGTAATATTTTATGTATGTATAGTTCAATTGTTGTAGTAATTTCAAGATATAGTTATCATAGAATCAACTTATTTTCAAAAAAGATAGCATTATACTTGCTTTAAAAGTATTGATATCATTTAATTTTGTTTTTATTTTATATTTGATGAAAGAAATTATAATAATTATTACTAATAAACTTTATAAAGTATTGGAACAAAAACCCCAAGATATATTAAGTGAAGAATATATCAATTGAAAAAATTAAATAACAAACTCAATAAGCAAGTAATAAAGTTTTTTTATATTGAATAGAACTTTAGATAACAAGAATACATTTAAATTATTCAATGCTTATGGAAAAAATAAAATATTTGTCAATTTAATGATAGTTTATATTAAGAAGAAATTTTTTTAAAATTATTGTAAACATGATAATTAATTATTCTTATATCATGAAGAATTAATGAGCAAAACTTAAAAATAAAGGCATGTATTTATTTTTGTTATATATATATGTGTGTGTGTAGTATGTATGTAAAATTGAATGTAAATATTTATGTATGTTATGTTAATAATACATGCATGCATGCATGCATGCATACATACATATATATATTATATTTTTTTTCGATTATCATACATGATGCATGCATACATATATATATAATTTTTTTTCGATTATCATACATGCTTTGTTATTTCAATTCTCCCTAACAAAATTGTTTGCTCCGTCCCTGGCCCAAGTTGTTATCCTCTCATGTTTGTAATATTTCTAAGGTACACATTTGTTATATCCACTTATTCCTTTTTGGAAAAATAACAATTAGGGATCCCAGAAAAATATTAATAACAATGAAAAACTTTGAATTATTAAAATTTCAATAACAAACCATCGTTCTCACTTATAATTAAAAAAATATGAATAGTCAACTGAAAAATCAACAAAGTATACTTAAAATTATTTGTAATATCAGACTGTCAGTTGGAGAATTTATGGAAGTTGTGAATATCAATTTTTTGTTATCAATAAGCACAATGATATTGAACAA